GGAGGGGAGGGGGAGGAGGAGGAGAGGAGGAGAGAGGAGGAGGAGGAGGAGGAGGAGGACGAGGCGGAGGACGAGGAGGAGGAGGAGGATGAGAGGAGGAGGAGGAGGACGCCTCGTGCCCCCACGGGGCGCTCCGCCCACGGGCTCTGCCCTGGGCGCCACCGCGCGGCGCGCCCGCCTGCCCCGCGCGGCGTGCCCCTCGCGCGTCTCCTGCGGACCCACGCGGAGCTCCGCCGACGGCCTCCGCCCCGTCTCCGCCGCGTCTTCGGCCGCCTCCGTGGCCTCCTCCTCCTCCTCCTCCTCCTCCTCCTCCTCCTCCTCCTCCTCCTCCGCTCCTCCTGCTCCTCCTCCTCCTCCTCCTCCTCCTCCTCCTCCTCCTCCTCCTCCTCCTCTCACGCTTCTCGGAGCCCCCCAGTGTTCAGAGTTGGCGGTGGGTCTGACGAGATGCACTTCGACCGCAGCGTCCCCCGCGCGTGCCAACACCGAGTTTGGGGGGGGAGGGGGAGTGTTCAGTAATCGTTTCCCTCTACCGTACCTCGACCCCTCGGCCGTGTTCCCCATTTGAGGCGTCTTGGGAGGTCCTTGTCGCCACCGCTGGGTTCGCCTCGAAGCCCTGGTCTGAACGCACCCCGGCAGAGGGCCGGGGAGCAGCGGTATCGGTATCTTGTGGTCTCGCCAACGTTTCGTGGCAACACAAGAAGGGAGATGTTGCGAGTGGAAGCTGCGAGGAGCCGGTCGTCACGTGGGATACCTCCACAGTTCGTCGTGGCAGGGCTCCTCTCTTCGGAGTTGGGCCTGAATGAGGTATTGGGGGCAGATGGCGAGAAGGGCAGGTCTGAACAGCAGCCCAGCATAGCACAGCGCCGTGGGCGGGTGACCTCACCCTGGCCCACCAGGAGGAGGAGAGAGAGAAGAGGAAGCACAATGAGAAGAAGAAGAAGACGAAGAAGAGAAAGACGAAGAAGAAGAAGAAGAAGAAGAAGAAGAAGAGTAAGAGGGGAAGCACGCAGGGTGGACGGCGAAATGAGAGGAGCGCGAGGCGGGAGGGGCAGGCCGTGCGCCCCGCCGCCGCCCCCGCCGCCGCGAGACCGGCGACGGCGGCTACATCCAGGCCCCTGTGCCCCCGAGCAGCGCCGCGATGGCAAGCCGGCTGCGGTCGGGAAAGTGCGTGATGAGGAGGGCGGGCGAGAATCAGAGCGTGAATTACCTACCCCGCTTTCGCTTCCAGGCAAAACCAAGTCATACCACGCGCCTCCCCGTCGAGTGGCCTGACCAGTGCGTGCCGTAGTTTGGCATCGTTTGGTAGCTCTTGGAAGCGAGGGTGGTCAAAAGCGAGGTAGGTTCGTTTGCCCCCTAGAGAAGGAGGATCAAACGACGCGAAGATCGGACAAAATCGGATCGGGGTAGCTCGAAATCTCTGAGGATCGGCGGGCTTGGATTGGAGGATGTGTTGGGCGCCGCGGCCGCTCCAGAGCGTTCCGGAACGCTCTGAGAGCGCTCCAGAACGCTCTGGAGCGATTCATCCCGATCCCAGTTCTGTTTTAAAGGAGGAGGGAGGAGGACCGCACAACCCTCCCCCACCCCCAGCCAGTCGGCACGAACGAATATGGGCCCGGAAAGAATGGGTACGAGGCCCAACAGCACTTCCTGCTCATTTTGAGCAGGACTCGCTCTCCACGCCGCCGCGGCCTGTGTCCATTCGAGACAGAAGGCCGCAACAGCGGCCTGCGTCCATTCGCCTGCCCAACAGCGGACGCTGTTGGTTCGGGACAACATTTGCTGTTGGTAGGGGGTCACATGCGAACCCTACCCCTACCCCCACGATTTCTGAGGGGGAGGGTGGGGTTCACTTCGCGCTGTCCCCGTTGCCATATTCGGAAAAGGGCCAGCGGACGACGGGATGCGATTTTAGTGAACGAGACCGAGTGAGACCGCTGGGTATAGGTGAAACGTTGACGCACGTAGAGAATATACAAGCGAGATAGGTGCTTGGCTGCATTGGATTTTGGGTTGGCGGATAACAGGGAACATTCTCGGAACGAGAAGGCGTTGGGAGTTGTTAAGAGGATGGTAATTAAGGAACACATGAAGAACTAAGACGGGATGGACGACTGGCTCGGGGTGCTAAAGTATGTTTCGTTTGGCGGTTGACTGGAAGCGCCTTCTCGGAACGAGAAGGTGATGGGAGTTTGCTCGAGCAAGTTGAGTAAGGAGTATAGTAAGAACTACGACCCGAAGGACTACTGGCTCGCGGGTGCAAGCACTTTTCGCTTGCCGGATGACGGGAAGAGCCTTGTCGGAGCGAGAAGGTGATGAGAGGTTTGTTATGTCGTTTTGCGTTAGGAGTAGATGAATAATACATTCGCAAGGGACAAGGGGCTCGCGATTTGACAGTGCTTGCGCTCGACGGATGACAGGAAACCCTTGTTCGGAACGAGAATGTGATGGGAGCTTCTGAGAGGAAGCTAAGTGAGGACTACATGTAGAACCTCGATGCGAGGAACACATGTCAGCAAATTGCAAAATGTTGTTCGCTCGCCGGATGACGGGAAGCGCCTTCCCGGAGCGAGAAGGTGACGAGAGCTTTCCAAAGCAAACCGACTACGAGTTTGTACAGAACTGAGACGCGATCGGCCACGGGCTCTCTATCGCAACTGAGTTGTCGTTTGGCGGACGGAGTCCCCTCAGAACGGCCTTTTCACTTGAGACATCTTCGAACAATTTAGATGTTGAAGGGGTTGTGTTCAGACACTGTATGCTTCAAACGAGGCGGTGTGTGTGTGTGCGTGCGTGTGCGTGCGTGTGCGTGCGCGCGTGTGCCTGTGAGTGCCTGTGTGCCAGTGCGTGCGGCTGTGTGTGGGCGACCGTGTGCGTGCGTGCGCGCGTGTGTGCAGGGCGTGTGCTGGGCGGGCGGGGCGGGGGTGGCGTGCGTGCGGGGTTTTGTGGGGAACGGGAGGGGTGCGCGGCGTGCGTGCGGGACGTGTTCTGGGGAAACGGGCGAGGGGGTGTACGGCGTGAGTTTGCGCAGCAACGGTCGGTTACATGTAAATTGTGCAAGTGCACAACACGGGAGGTTGCACGTAAGCGGTACAACACGATCGTCGATAGCGTACCGTTTACGTGAAGCCTCGAATTTGCGTTGCTTACATGCGATGTTACGTGTTCGATCTCGCACGGTTTACGTGCAGCCAATCATCTTGGGTTGTGTCCATGTTGCACGTTCGAAGGCCACTTGCGCAACAACGGTCGATAACATGTGAACTGCGCGCTTCTGCAAAACGAGAAGTTGCGCAGAACGGTACCGTTTACGTTCAAGCCTCAACCTTTATTGTTCACATAGAATTTATCGTGCTCGATATTGCACCGCTAACGCGCGACCGATCACGGGCCATTTCGGCCACGTTGCATTTTCGAAGCCATTTGCGCAACAACGGCCGACTGTATGTAAATTGCGTAATTGTGGAAAACTAAAGGTTGCACGTACATGGTACAACACAATAATCGATAATGTACAATGTATCGTGTTCGATCCCGCGCGGCTGACGTGAAGGTGGGGATCCGCCTAGGAAGTCGATCATTTGCAGCGGCGAACATGTTGCCCCTGGCGTTGTATTCCTTCATGTAGCTTCCTCCAAGAGGCTCCCAGCACCTTCTCGTTCTGAGAAAACGCTTCCCGTGAAACGCAGTGTATTAGAATTCGCCAGATTCGGCAAGCGGTATCGACATCTCCGCTGTGCGAAGAGGTCTCGGGCGAGAGCCTAATTCACATAGAACTTTTTACACTCAGCTCTTTCAACATCTCATTATTCCGATGATGTATCAGCGAAGCGCAATATGTTTCAGAAATCGCTAGATTGCGCGAGCAATATCAACATCTTCATGTTTCGGAGACGTCTCGAGCGATCGTCATCACACGTCATCGCCATTGTCCGCGCCACCGTTCATACATATATACACGACACAAGGCACAACGCATCACCCCATGTGTTTTGGGGCTCGTGATCTTCGGTGGCATTGAACTCGTTGCCCCTCGTGTTTGGTTGCAGCCACTCTTGAGCCATAGACCCTGGGGGGGGGGGCTTTTCATTTGTTCAGGTCTCGGCCACTTGCCCTCGCGGTGGCTGGGCGCGCTCCTTGGGCAGTGCGGCATGCGCAGGGCAGCCTCCAGCGCGGCGGTTCGAGAGCCAGCTCGAGGTTGCCGCAGCGCCGCGAGCTTGCGTTGTTAGAGACTGGAGCGGTGACTGATACCTCAGTATCGGCAGAACGGACAGTACCAAAAACGCGCGCAAACGCGCGCGCACACATGCACATATTCACACAGACACACACACACACATTCACAAACCACGTGCGACACTTGACCAAAGCAACCGCAGGCAACCACGCAACCGCCGGCCAGACGCGCGCGTCGCACGCACACCGCGCACGCACCCCCGCCCGCCCGCCCGCCCCGCACACGCCCCGCACGCACGCAGCACGCCCCCCCCCCTCCCCGCCCCGAACGCGGCGAGTTTTTGTGGAACAACGACTCAGTGAAGAAAATCGACAAGGGGGACGAGCGCGGCGGCGGCTGGAGCAAGAGATCGAGGTCCTCGCGAGCCGCCTTGACACCTGTGCGACTGAGCGATCAGCGCCAGGATGCCCCGCGGGCCTGTCAAAGCGAGGCTGGCTTCGGAGCGCTGGCCGCGCCGCGGCCATCGGACAAAAAACGCGGCGCTCGTTTCGCTCGCGCCGCCGCGACGTCGTCGATGAACACGAAGGGGCACAGCGTGCGCGAGGCCCTCTCGACGAGACCCCCCGAGCTAGGGGAACCTGGAGAAGCATTGCATCGGTGGCATGTATTTAACGCGGAAGATCGGACCAAAAACATGAGGCCTTTTCAGAAGCAGCGAGGAAACAATGCCAAGCAACCCGGTGAAGTCCCCCCGCGGAGCGGCACGGGATCAAGACCAAGATTGCCGAGGAAGGCCTTTGGATCCAGGCCTCGATTCCTTTAGTCGTTCAAATTCATACAAGAATCTCGAAGGCAAGCCGAATCGGGGCAAATGTAGCAACTCCTCGAAGATAAGCCATTCGGGGAACAAGCGCCACTTTCTCATCACCTCCCGAGGCGTCTTGGGGACGCCCCAGCGCCTCCGGGAGCTTTCTGGGCCGCGCCCGCACAGGCCGCGGGTTTGCTGGAGGCATCCTTGAAGCCAGATTGGCTCATTTGGTGCCACGCTGGGGATCTGAGGAAGCACGTCGGGCGAGAGCACGGCGAGAGGGGCGGCGCCCCCCTGCGCGGGGAGGGGGATTAGAATGACGAGTTTTCTGAACCGCCCGCGCGCCCCCTGCCAAAGCGACCCTGGAGATGCCGAGAACGAAGGGCGTCTGTTCTGGCGGACAGGATGCAAGTTTATTACAAGCGGGACGGCGTTGCCAATAAACTCGGGCAGATGCTGGAGACTACCAGAAAACGCGGCACGAACAGCCCGAAGGTGAAGATGGCCCCCGCGCGCCGCGGGCACCTCGCGCCACTCGGCGCGGAGATCGCCGCAGAGCTGCGCGACGGGGGCGCCCCCGAGGAGGGCGCCGTGCAGCGGGGCAGCACTGCGTCCGAACGAATGCTGCAAGACGTCGCCGAGCACGGGCGCGGCTGCCCAAATTGCGGATTCCATCACGTTCGTCCTTCAGAACGCCGCGCTGGCCGCGCGGTTGCCGCGCTGCCCCCGCGCGAAGCCGAAGCCGGCGGCGCGCGCGCTCTCGGCAGCCTGCGCATCGGGGGGCGGCCCGACCTTCCACCGGCGTGGTCGGGGCGAGGCCTTCGGGGGCAGCGTCGGCAATGCCGGCGGGCGCCGCGATGGCAGTTGCGCAATCGCGGCCGCCAGCGGGGGCGCAGCGTCGAAGTTCTCGACGCGCCCATCTACTCGCATGCGGGAGCGCTGAAGCAGAAAGTACCCTCCTCGTGCCCCCGCCCTTCCCCCCCCCGCGCCCCCCCCTCGTCTTCGCCCTCTTCGATGGGGCCCCTGCCCGAGGGCCCCCCCTCACTGTCTGACACGCCCTCGCCCCGTTCGCCCCCCCTGAAGGGCCCCTGCCCGAGGCCCCCGCCCCCCACGTCGCCCTAGCATCCGTCTCCCTCCGCCCCCTCCCGCCCACGCCCTCGCCCCCCCCCCCCCCTCCTCGACGGCGCCGCCTGTGGACTCGCGTCCGCGTCTTGCGTGTTCGAGCCAGCCGCGAGCATGCGCTCCGCTTCCTCTGTCTCGCGCGGGTCGCGCTTCTGCTCCGCGGGCCACGCTGCGCCCCCGCCTCGGCGCGGTGGCCCCCTTGGGACGCGCGCCCTCCGAACGAGCGGCCCGCGGCGGCGGCGCCTGCGCCGCGCCCGCGACCGCGGGCCACCGCGGCGGCGTCGCGGGCGGCCCCGCCCGATTCGGCCCTCGGGCCGAGCCAGCGGAGGGCGATTCGGCTCCCGCCGGGCCGGCGGAGGGCGCGGCGGGTCGCGCGGACCGCGCCGCCGACCCGCCCAGCGGAAGAGCTCCTAGGCGCCGTCGCAAGAGCAGCCAGAGGAGGAGGCGGAGCCGCAGCAGCGGAGGCCGCCGAAGAGAGCCTCGCGAGGGTTCGCGGACAGGCGCAGATCAACACGGCGGTGACCAGGTAGCGAGCGGCAGTTGGCCGAGGGCGAAGGCGAAAAGGCCGCCCCGGCGACGGGCGCGCTGGAGTCTTGCCAGAAGATGCGCTGCAAGTTCCGGGGAGTTTCCTCGAGGCGCGGCGCAAGAACGCGTCGCGCTGGAAGGGGGCCTCGCGTGGGCGGCCGATTTCAGGGAGCCGCGCACCATGTCCGACGCGGCGTCTTGGGGTTCGAATGCGATTTGGCGCGCGCCGGGCCAGATCTTACAGCGTCTCGGGCACCAGATCTGCGATTTCGAGCGCTCTGCGAGCGCCGCCGCCGAAGCAGGGGGCGACCAGAAGCTGCGCCGCACGGCCGAAACTTCCCGCCGCAGGAACTCCCCCCCCCTCTTCTCCCTTCGCCCGCTTAGACGGGCGCCAGCTGCAAAAGCCTTGACGGGGGCGCGCCATTCCGACGCGGCCCCGCCGCTGCTACGTCGTCGGCCACGGGAAACAGGCAGGGCGAAGGGGCAGAAGAGCAGGAGGAGGAAGACGAGGGGGGGGGTGAAGGGAGGGGAGGGGGTGAGGGCGGGGGAGGGGATGGGGCGGGGATCTAGGAGAGAGGGGGGTGTAGGATGGGGGGGGCAGAGGGGGGGGGCGGGGGGGGGGGGGGCGCGACCCCGCGGGGGGCTCGCGCAGCGGGCGCGCCGCGCGCTGTCGGGGGCGCCGTGCGAGAGCACAGTCAGGGCGCTCATGGGCGGAGATGTCTTCGAGCAGGCGTTCGGGATTGCGGCGCGCACAAAGGCGCAAGCCAGAGGGGGGCGCTCCGAATGAGCAGCCTGCCGTCTCGCCGCCAAGAGTCCCAGGGCAGTTGGGAGGAGGGGGGGGACAATGGGAGCGGAGCGCGGGGGGGGACCCCCGGATAAATGTTTTTGAGGCCTCTGGCTTAAAACACTGCAGGCAGATTCTGCTGATCGACCCTAGACCGCGATCAAGGCGGCTCCAGAGGGCCCCAAATCGCCCCCTGCATGCACGCGCGCATACGCGTACGTCTCACGGGGGATTGGGCCGGGACCCCGGCCGCAAATTCGAAGGCCAGAACTCCCCGCGCAGATGTCAGGAGCTCGAAATCGACGCCGAGGGCGCTCAACACAGTGGTCGAAACGATCCACGGCGGCCTCGAGTCGTCCCAAGAAGGTTTCCTGACGGTTCAGACATCTCACTCGGCGCCCCCAGCGGCCCCTTCCTGCTTCCGACGCGCCCCGAGAGTGTTCCAGCAGGCCCTCGAAGACGGCTCTGGGAGGCCAACATCATGAATGTTTCCTGGGTGTTTGGAGGTTGTTAGAGTTTTTCACCAACCAGTCTGAGTTCTTGGAGAGTTCCCACATCCCGTGGTCTTGGGTCATCGGTTTGAAAAGACGGCACCCGCGTTCTTCCCCCCCCCCCCCCCCCCCCTCCCCCCATCATCATCGTCACCATCATCATCATCAGCATCATCCGTAGCCATTTTGGGCGCAAGGCGGCAAAGCCGATTGGCTGCAAGTTTTGTATCTCCCTATCGTCTGCGTTCCCCCTTCCCCCCTATGTTGGGTCTGGCGCCCATGGCCTTTGATGCAGGCGTCGCTCCTCATTTGCTGGTCGGTGATCTTCACGGTGCCCTCGTGCGGTGCCTCTCCGACGTCCGCGCGAAGCACTTCCAAGGGTTGTCGCAAGCTGCTCGTGACCTGCATCGTCAAAATCGGATCCCTAGCAAGGTGAAAAACCAGCTCCTCCGGCTTGACTGGGCCCACAACATTGTTCGGCATATCACTGCTACTTCCGCTCGCGAATTCTACTGCGATGTTCGTGCAGATCTTCTAGGTGGTGTTTCTCAGGGACAGCTGCACGAGGCCGGTTTTGAGCACGATAAAGAGCTCCTAAAGAGCTCCTCGGAGGCGGTGTTCCTGACGCGGCTTGTGCTCCTGAAGCCTTTTGTGCCGATCTTCATGCTGAAGCTGGTAAAGAGCTCCTCGGAGGCGGTGCTCCGGAAGCTATTCGTGCCGATCTTCATGATGAAGCGGTTCGCGCGGATCTTCCCGGTGGAGGTGTTCGTGACGATCCGCTTGCCAATTATCATGCCGACCATAATGCTGAAGCTGTGAGTGTGGATCCTCTCCCTGGCCCCGGAGCGTTTCGTGCCGAACTTCATGCCCATGCTGTTTCTGCTCCTGGAGCTGTTTGTGCAGATCTTCATGCTGAAGCTGTTCGAGCGGGTCTTCATGTTGAAGATGTTCGTGCGGCTCTTCCTGCTGACGATGTTCGTGCAGATCATCATGCCGATCCGCATGCCGATCTTCATGCTGAAGCTGTTCATCTCTGGGCCTCCGGAGCTTTTCGTGCCGATCTTCGTGATGATGCTACTTGTGCTCCGGATGCTGTTCGTGCCGATCTTCATGCTGAAGCGGTCCCGGAAGATCTTCATGCTGGACCTGCTCGTCCTGCTCTTCATGCTGGACACCCTGCTGCTCTTCATGCTGAAGCTGGTCGTGCGGATCCTCTTCAAGCCCTTGGAGTGGTTCGTGCCGAACTTCACGCTGGAGCTGTTTGTCCTCCTGGAGCTGTCCGTGCCGATCTTTCATGCTGAAGCTGCTCGCGTGGCTTTTCCTGCTGAAGCTGTTCGGGCCGATCCTCATGCCGAGCATCATGCCGATCCTCATGAGCTTGCGGATATTCATGCGTCTTGTGCGGATGATGCAGTACATCTTCCTGCGGAAGCTGGGTGTGCTCCTGAAGCGGGTCGTGCCGATCTTCATGATGAAGGTGGTCGTGCGGCTTCTCACGCTGGACATGTCCGTGGCGCTTTTCATGCCGATCAGCATGCCGATCCTCATAAGGACGCTGTGCGTGCGGATCCTCTCCATGGCCGTGGAGTTCGTGCCGTTCACGCTGATGTTCATCCTGCCGACCCTCATGCTGAAGCTGTTCGTGCGGATCTTCCTCATGGCCTTTATTTTTCTGGGCAGGTTCGTGCCGATCTTCCTGCAGGAGCTGTTCGTGCAGATTTTCTTGCTGAAGCTGTTCGGGCTAGTCCCCATGACGATCATTATGCCGATCCTCACAAGTTTGCAGCGGATCATCTGCTGCATCTGGTGTCCCTGGAAATGGCTGCTGCTATAGCGGAAGGCGCCCCTGCTCTTCCGATTCGGGGCCGTGGTGAAGTTCCCACTGAATCTGTTTTCCCTGATGAACCTGAGCTTATACACCATCCTGGGAAAGTCTCGGATCAGGCCCGCTGTAGGGAGCTGCTGCGGAGGATCGGAGTGCGCGACGCGATGATAGGTGCTGAGAGTTTCGTTCCTGGCAAGGGCCCGCCGCTCCCTGATGTCTCCTCCTTCTTCTCTCCTTCGAATTCGATGTGTAGCTGGCTGTACGACGATCAATTATAATGCTTCCTGCCTGAGCTATACGGCGCATGCAGTTTTCGTGGCTCGCCTGCGGTTCCCTCACCATGTCAATGGAGGCCCAACCCACGAGTTGCCGCGCGGGGAAAAAATCATCAGCATCAGCAGCAGCATCATCATCAACAACATTGTCATCATCATCATCATCATCATCATCATCATCATATTTTTCTTCGTCATCATCTTCATCATCATCGCCACCATCATCATCATCAGCATCATCATCATCATCAGCATCGGCGTCCTCATCATAATCTTCATCACCATCGCATACCCATCACACGTTTCGTGGCCCCATATGGAGTCCCACCGAAGGCCCCTGTGCCACCGTTCACACACGCCCCCCCGCCCACTTCGGCACACACTTCACACGCTTCGTGGCCCCATAGGGAGCTGCACCGAAGGCCCCAGTGCCACCGTCCACATTTGCCCCCACCCACTCACTTCGGCACCTCCTCACGCGTTTGGTTGCCCCATAGGAAGCACGGAAGGCCCCAATGCCACCGTCCACATGCGTCCCCCATACCCACTTCGGCACGCCCCATCACACGTTTCGCGGCCACATGGGAGCTCCACCGAGGGCCCCAGTGCCACCGTCCACATGCATTCCCCCCCGCCCACGTCGGCGCACCCCTCAAGTGTTTTGTGGCCCCACAGAGAGCTCCACCGGCCCCCAGTGCCACCGTCCACATGCGACCCCCACCCACTTCGGCACACCTCTCACACGCTTCGTGGCCCCATAGGAAGCTCCACTGAAGGTCCCAATGCCACCGTCCACATGCGCCCCCCCCACCTACTTCGGCACACCCCTCCCATGCTTCGTGGCCCCATAGGGAACTCTACCGAAAATGGGTTTGAAGAAACAGCGCCCCTCGTGGTGTCTTTCCTCCTTCCTTCCTTTCTCCTCTCCCCCTCCTCCCCCCTCATCCCATCCATGCCTCTGTCCCGCTCACCCAGCCCACCCAGCGCTTCGTGGCCCCATGGGGAGTTCCACCTAAGGCCACACTGGCGGTGTCCACATGCGTCTCCCACACCCAGCGCAGCGCGTCGTGGCCCCATAGGGAGCTCCAGCTATGGCCCCAGTGGCGGTGTCCACACACGTCTCCCCCCACGCACCCACTCCGGCACCCCCTTCACGCGCATCGTCGTGGCCCCATATGGAGCTCCACCGAAGGCCCCAGAGCCACCGTCCACATGCGTCCCCCACCCACTTCGGTACACCCCATCACACGTTTCGTGGCCCCATAGGGAGCTCCACCGAAAGCACCAGTACCACCGTCCAAATGCGATCTCCCCACCCACGCTTCGTGGCCCCAGTGGGAGCCCCACCGAAGGCTCCAGTGCCACCGTCCACATGCACCCCCCCCGCCCACTTCGGCACACCTCTCACACGCTTCGTGGCCCCATGGGGAGCTCCACCGAAGGCCCCAGTGCCACCGTCCACATGCACCCCCCTCACACCCACTTTGGCATACCCCTCACACACTTCGTGGCCCCAAGGGAGCTCCACCGAAGGCCCCAGTGCCACCATCCACATGCATCCCTCCCACCCATTCCGGGACACATCTTACACATTTCGTGGCCCCATAGGGATTTCCACCTATGGACCCAGAGCCACCGTTCACAGGCGCCCCCATCCCCACCCACTTCTGCACATCTCTCACACGTTTCGTGCGCCAATATGGAGCTCCACCGAAGGCCCCAGTGCCACCGTCCACATGCACCCCCCCACACCCACTTCGGCATACCCCTGACACACTTCGTGGCCCCATAGGGAGCTCCACCGAAGGCCCCAGTGCCACCGTCCACATGCATCCCCCCCACCCACCTTAGCACACAACCTCCCACGCTTCGTGGCCCCATTGGGAGCTCCACCGGGGCCCCAGTGCGATCGCCCACATGCGTCCCCCCCCCACCCACTTCGGCACACCCTTCAAACGTTTTGTGGCACCATAGGAAGCTCCACCGAAGATGATATTCACAACTGCGTTACTCACAACTGCGTATGGTTGGGTCCTTCGCCAAGCTAATGTTATAGGTTTGAAAGAGACAGCGCCCCTCGTGGTTCCCTTCCTGCTTCCTTCCTTTCTTTCTCCTCCTCTCCTCCTCCTCCTCCTCCTCCTCCCCCCTCCTCCCATCCATGCCTCTGTCTCCCACACCCAGCACAGCGTGTCGTGGCCCCATAGGGAGTTCCACCTATGGCCCAAGTGGCGGTGTCCACATACGTCCCCCCTACCCAGCACACAGCGTGTCGTGGCCCCATAGGAGTTCCACCTATGGCCCCAGTGTCAGGGCCGAGCTCTCAGAGGCTGGCCTGCCTGGGCCCCGCTGTCACCATGTGGTTGGGCGGCTGATTGCTGCATGCCCCAGGTGCGCAGTTGGTGTTTTCTGGTGGGCCCTTCCCCCTCGGTCGGCGGCACGTGTGAGCATCTCACAGAAGCCCGGTTGCCGTCTGGCCGCTGGGGTTCCATATCTAGCTTGCCGTCGTTTGTAGAAGCTGAAGGCGTTCCAGTCGGCCTCCTCGTCATCCTCCTCTTCGTCCTCCTCGTCCTCCTCCTCCTCCGCCTCCTCGTCGTCGTCGTCGCCCCTCCTCCTCCTCCGCCTCCTCGTCGTCGTCGTCCCTCCTCTTCGTCCTCCTCCTCCTCCTCCCCCTCCTGCACCATCGCGGAGGAGGAGGAGGAGGAGGAGGACACCGACGACAACGATGACGGTGACGGCGACGGCGGAGACTCAAATGGCGGGAGGAGCAAGAGGCAGGGGGGAGGAGGGCGGGAAGGGAGGGAGCCTTGAGACGGGGGCCAGCCAGAGCGCCAGATATTGCAGGATCCTGCGAAGACCCCCTCTGGCTGACCCGGGTTAGCGAGCCGCTCGTCGCCGCGAGGCGGCCGCGCAGATTGGCTGACCAGGGTTTGCGAAGACCCGCGTTGCAGTTTGTTTTCTTCTTGCATTGCAGTTTTTGCCAACCATCCTGTGGTGTTGGGTCCTCGTTTTGAAGAGACGTCGCCCAGCGTTCTCCTCCTCTCCTCTCCTCCTCCCCCTCCTCCCCCTCCCGTCATCACCCTGCGTTTCACCCACCCAGTATAGCGTTTCGTAGCCCCATAGGGAGCTCCACCGAAGGCCCCAGTGGCAGCGTTCGCATGGCGGCCTGGGCCATTTCGGCACACCCCTCACGAGGATCGTGGCCCCATAGGGAGCTCCACCGAAGGTACCAGTGGCAGCGTTCGCATGGCGGCCTCGGGCCATTTCGGCACAGCCCTCACGAGGATCGTGGCCCCATAGGGAGCTTCATCGAAGGCGCCAGTGGCAGCGTTCGCACGGCGGCCTCGGGCCATTTCGGCACACCCCTCACGAGGATCGTGGCCCCATAGGGGCTCCACCGAAGACCCCCAGTGGCAGCGTTCGCATGGCGGCCTCGGGCCATTTCGGCACACCCCTCACGAGGATCGTGGCCCCATAGGGAGCTCCACCGAACGCCCCCAGTGGCAGGGTTCGCATGGCGGCATCGGGCCCTGTCGGCACACCCCTCACGAGGATCGTGGCCCTATAGGGAGCTCCACCGAAGACCCCCAGTGGCAGCGTTCGCATGGCGGCCTCGGGCCATTTCGGCACACACCTCACGAGGATCGTGGCCCCATAGGGAGCTCCACCGAAGGCGCCAGTGGCAGCGTTCGCACGGCGGCCTCGGGCCATTTCGGCACACCCCTCACGAGGATCGTAGCGGCAGGGTTCGCACGGCGGCCTCGGGCCATTTCGGCACACCCCTCACGAGGATCGTGGCTCCATAGGGAGCTCCACCGAAGGCCCCCAGTGGCAGCGTTCGCATGGCGGCCTCGGGCCATTTCGGCACACCCCTCACGAGGATCGTGGCCCTATAGGGAGCTCCACCGAAGACCCCCAGTGGCAGCGTTCGCATGGCGGCCTCGGGCCATTTCGGCACACCCCTCACGAGGATCGTGGCCCCATAGGGAGCTCCGCCGAAGGCGCCAGTGGCAGGGTTTGCACGGCGTCGTCGGACCATTTCGGCTCACGTGGATCGTGGCCCCATAGGGAGCTCCACCGACGGCGCCGGCAGGGTTCGCACGGCGGCCTCGGACCATTTCGGCACACCCCTCACGAGGATCGTGGCCCCATAGGGAGCTTCACCGCAGGCCCCAGTGGCAAGGTTCGCATGGCGGCCTCGGGCCATTTCGGCACACCCCTCACGAGGATCGTGGCCCCATAGGAGCGCCAGCGAAGGCGCCAGTGGCAGGGTTCGCATGGCGGCCCCGGGCCATTGCGGCACACCCCTCACGAGGATCGTGGCCCCATAGATGTGTTGCTTCAACAACCGCGCCTGGGCGTCGTACTCCGCCGCGTCGACGTGCAACGCCACCTCCTTCCTCATGGCTCTCAAAACCCTCTTCTGCTTTTGCTCCTCGGTCAGAGGAACGCCGTCCGTGTAGTCGTTGGCACCCGCGAAGACGGCCACGAACGTGTTCTTGAGCATGTCGGGTTCCGGCGGGAAGTTGTGGCCACATGGGGAGCGCGGGCAAAGATGGTATTCACAATTGCGGTATTCACACCTGCATATGGGTGGGTCCTTCGCCAGGCGAATTTGGTTTCCTGCTGGCCCGGGTTTGGACTGCCCCGGGCCGGAAGATCCCCGACGCCCCGGGGCCGGCTCAGCCCGAGCTGTTCTCTGAGGGTCCTAGGATTGGAGAAAAAACAAAAAAATCAAAAGGATTGCAAAAAAAAAAACATGATTGCAATGTTTGTTTTTTGTTTTTGCTTTTTTTGCAATCAATCCTTCGGTTTTTTTGTTATTGTTTTTTTGTTGCAATCCTGGGCCCAGCCAGGGCCCCGGGGGAGCCGAAGGCAGACCACCGCGGGAGCACGGCGGGGGGGGGGGCCGTGCCGCCCACCTCCCCGGCAGGCCGTGTGGCTGGGTGGCATCGACACCCTCTCGCTCGACAGCTGCCACCTGTGGAGGGACAAGCAGGCGCGCCGGCGAGGCAGCAAGAACGAGGAGCACCCAGAGGTGCTCGCGTCTCGGAAAGAGAGAGAAAACGACAGAACATGTTCTGGCCATTCTCGGCTACTCTGGGCATCTGGGGCCTTCACCAGGCCCCAGGGCCGTCAAAAAATGCACCGGGATGAAAAACCGGCCCTGGGTAAAGGGTCGGGATTTCCTGGGACCCCGCCCCGACAAATCAGGACATCGCTTGTCTGGGGAAAAGGAAAAAGGAGGAGGAGGTGGAGAAAACGAACGAGGAGGAGGAGGAGGAGAAGAAGAAGGCGAGGAGGAAGGCCATCGCACGGTTCCGGGGGGGGTCGGTTCCGCTCGCTATTGCGGCCCGAGCGCTTCTGCCTCGGCGGCCTGAATTGCCACCTGCTCTATGGGAATGGGGGGCCTGGAAACCACTGGGCTGTTCTTTCAAGCCTCGGGGTGACGACCGATGAGGAGGCTCTCGTCGGCACCTCTCGAAAACGCTGGAAAAATACCATGGGACAACTCGCATGGAGGCCCTTCAGCGCGCATTTTGAATACTTGCCACTCTGCGAGCAAGCAACAACGAACCTCTCATCTGCACTCCTGCCGAAGACGAGTAGCTTGTGACCAATTGGATTCATGGTCAACTTTGCCAGGGCAGCTGCGTTGCCAGGACAGGTTTCCTTGGCACGGTCATTATTTGTCTTATCGGTCAGGCATCGCAAGTGGCAAAGGCAGCAGAACCAACGGGAGTTCTGCCAGGATCAGACATGCCCGACGCGACGGGAAGCCGCGGCGGGCGGGGGAGGAGCAGGAGCCGTCGCAACCCCAGGGCCCGAAAGACGCCCCCCTTGTTGGTTTCACCTTGCCACACTTCTGCGATAGAACCTGTTCCTACGGTTAGGTTCGTAGCCTGTATTAGGCCGTCGAGGCCCTTCCCCCCAACCCTCAGTACAAGTGCAAGCCACAAGGCGAGAGCCTTTTGGTAAATACCGAAGGACACGCTTCATTCGCGACTCGAGCTGTCGCTGGGCATCCCTTTCCGCCTGGGAGGGCTGGGGGGTCTCGCGGCAGCTGACTTAGCATTCTGCGTGCTTCATTGGCCAGTGGCGTGGAGCCACAGTTCGGGGAATCGTTCTAGGCTGGACAAGTCCTGATGGGCCTTGACCTTAACAACAGCGAAACCTCCATCGCGCTAGGCTTCACCTAGCTTGGCCATGGACCCAAGTCCATCAAACATGTGTTTCTGACTGGCAGGCGGATTCGAATTGTGGTATGCTGCTGCTCCTTTGGAATATGGGTGAGTTTCTGTGATGCACCTGTGCATGGTGCCGTCATGTCGTAACCTGCTGACTTGTGTTTACAGAGTATCCAACAATATAATGTCACATACCAGACCAGCAAGCTGCGTTCCTGCTTTCTCAGGCGTTTGACGGCAAGCGCTCCCTCAGCATGCTAAAGAGCGATGGCATCAACACCTATCTTCTGCGCGGCCTGGTCGGCCAGCTGGTTCTGCAACGACTCAGCGAGAAATCGGCGAAGTAGGGCAGGCGAAGTGGCAGTGAGCGGGTAGTCCTCTCCTTCCTGGCTGGTGAACACGAACGGGGACGACCAACTCCAACCAACGCGTCCTAGGCTCAGGTAGGCGGCTCCCGAGGGGCCCCTTGTGTGGCCCCACCCCAAGGCAGATTCACCGAGAGTACTCGCAGCGACACTTCTGAGCTCACGGAGGCCGAACTCGGACTCGGGTGGGGCCTTGGGAGGCTCCGAACAAGGTCATGCTCCAGGAAATGCAGCGGGGGTGGATAGACCTCCTACCCTGACGCGTCGATTAGTGAATTGTCCTTTTTCGGTTCTCGAGAGGGCGCCGCGGCCGCCAGGTTTAGGCCCGAGGCCGTTTTCACTAAACCACGTGTTCCTGAAGGGAGGCCTGTCCATCCCCGAATGCCGGGGCCCTTGGCAGATCTCCAGGTGGGGGACCTTCAACACCGCCAGGGAGAGCGCACGGGATCTTGTTGCACACTGGGGCCCCAGCAGCGCTCAGGAAGAGATATCTGGCCTCCAAGAGTCAGGAGGGGGAACAAAACACACACACACACAAACGCAATTAATCGTCGATCCCCAGGAAAATATAGGAAAATATAGGAAATGAGGGGGGAAGACAAAAACCCAGAAAGTATTGAAAAACATGGTGAATCTTGGTATTTGTATGTATTTCTTTGTGTGTCCCAGGGCCCCTTCAAAGAACTCCTGCTCCGTGAGCCCCAGTACACCGGCCCCAGAGCACCCAGCTTGCTGGAGGCCAGTGCTCCACATATTCTTGGTGTCCGCTCCTGCCGCCCGAAGTGCACGCAGTCTGCGCAGGCGAAGCTTCAGCTTTGTCGCACGACCCCTGAAAGTTTTCCTGCCGCGGCTCCTCAGCCTGGCTATTGCGGTGAAGTCGACTCCTAGGTTGGCGGCGGCAGGCTGCGATCTTCCAGCACAAGGCCCAGCCCATTGGCGTAGCTTCTCAGCCAGATCGGCTTGAATCATCGGCGTCGAAGCCACAACAGCAGCCTTGTGATTTGCGATGTCGCAGCGGAGATCGACGACAATCGATTGGTGCATGTTGGTTGAGGCCGCGGCTAAAACAGCAATCAGTTCGTTTGGTTTGTTGCTGTGGCTGTTGGGCAGAAAATGATGTATGAAAATTCTCGGCTTCACGCGCGGGTTCTGTGCCAACCAGATGTCAATGGGCGGGAGACAGCACTGCTGAACGACGAAAGTGGCTGCCCAGCAGCCTGCTGCGATACCTCGCAACGGGCACCCTGCGGGCAGAGCAGACGCACGAGTAGCCGCAGTCCTCGATGTCTGGCCTTGGTTTCGAATGAGTACCACTAGCGAGTCCAAGAAATTGGTCTCCAGTGCCCTGACTCCCCAAAGCTGTCGATCGATATATTCGCAGTAGTTCTAGAGATCCCAGAGGACCGCAGCCGAGAGGATTTTCTTTCCCCAAAGAGATACCCGTCAGCTCGCGTGAATTGTTCGAAGACAACCTCGAGGACCCCTTTTTTCCAGCTTGGTGGGCTAAATGCATCCGAGAACGTTCACGCTCCCAAGCACGAAATTCAAGTTCACTATGTTGACCCCAAAGTCTCCAAAGCCCTGGCATCTGACCTATGCCCCTATAACGAAGACGTGGGTTCGGGCCTGGCTTGTGTTTCTCGATCAGCACGGTGTCAGTGGCACGGACTTGGGTGGGAAAGGCCCCCCACCCTCTCGATGGCTCGGAGGAGCCTGCAACCGATATCCAGTCGGGCATCGCCCAGGAGATTGAGATGCCCGGGACGGAACCCGTCCTGGGTCCTAGCAGTGGCATTGCTGAAACTTCGGCTGGCGGCTCGAAGTTGTTCTGGCGAATGCTGGCGAAGTCCCCACCTCGCTGGACAGCTTGCATCAGGGCCGGCCCTGCTGGGACGGCATGCCAAATATTGTTTAAGCTTTCATGTTCGGCCTCGGGCACATCCGCCGGCCGCCCAGACCACCTACCTTTCTGCGGGTTCTGCACGCGAGACGGTTGCCAAGACGTAAGACGACCGCTCCACCTGCGAGCCCACCCAACACTTCTCTTCACAGCTTCTTGCACCCAAACTTCACGACTGTATCATCGAGTCGATCCCGAGCATCTTCACAATCGAAGCCTTCGGCGATCTCCGAATCGAGGTCTTCGAACACGGTTGGTTGCAAGCAGCTCGAAGTTTGGCGCCCTTTGGGTGCATCCAAGAGCGCGGATTGGCGTACAAGCACGAATACTTTTGATCGGCGCTTGGCATTATGCGACTATCTAAGTCTCCAGGCGGCGAAGCAGGGCCGATGTGGGACTGGTGAACATCCTCGAGGCGCTCCTCCTCCTGCTCCTCCACCCCACGTCTGATGTTTATCCGGCGGCATTCCTCCAACTCTTCCCATCCTCGGACTCGGCAGCCTCGGCGGGGATCGATTTGATGGCGGGCGCCTGGGCTCAGCGCATGCAGCTTTGCGACGGGGTGTCCGCGGCGATGCTAGGCGCGCTGGGCATGTCGTCCACAAAGTAGCCGTAGGCAGAGTCTACAGCAGACATAACAGCTTCGGACGAGACAGACTGAATAGGAATTGGATCAGCATTCCCCCCACAAGATACGTAGACGCCACGATACTCCATCAAGGCCTCAAAGCCCCCAGACTCCTGGACCACGGCGGAGAGCAATTACGAGGGCCCACTGGGGCCACGACAGAATTCTGCTGAGGCTGCTCCAACACTGGGATAAGATACAGCGCCCCATTTTCCACATCCACGACGAGGATTGCTGTGGTAGGCAACCAGGGCCCTCGGTTGCCTCAAGTAGTGTTCGAATCATTTGGACCCCATGAAGTAGTCAATGGTGGCTTTGCTTTTCCTAGTATATGGTGTGTGGGTGTCTGGGCATATGACCCGGACCTCCGCCCTCGTCGGCAATTCGGTTTCTATCGACTTGCTCGGACACGCTTTGAAATCTCTCGCCAAGATGAGCTGCAGTGCGTTGGCGGCGGCGACCTGTACAACGCCTGTGTGGGCCTTGAGGTTCTCTTCATTCAGGCCAACGGAGTCGGCCAGAGACGCAGATCCTAGGCAGAACGGCTGATGTCCTGGAACTTCAAGACTAAAACAGTTGCTTGAGGATCTGGAAACTTTTCTGGAACAGGTTGTCGAATAACCCAAAAATTGTGGCCACTTCGCATTGAAATTCGAGTGCCCTGCCACAGAAACCCTTTGGCGCTTAATACAGTTGGAGACAAACTGGCTAACCGTCCCCTGTTGGCACGCCCATCCGCTTCTCTGGCCGAATCTTATTCTAGAATGCGCGTCTCCTGACAGCAGGTGACCTGGATGCTCTTAGACCCCTCGCCCCCCAAGACTTGCGAACCCCAGACCAGCCAAGTTAGAGGTGCATAGTGAGAGAACGGCTGGTCCTCCGCAGGGTCCGCCGACGAAGACGCCGCAGTCGACTTGG